CAAAATTAGTAGACCAAATAAGTTTAAATAAAAAAAATTAAAATATTTTTTAGATAAATATAATGAACCAAACTACCCTTACAAACTAAAAATAAAAAAAATTTACCAAAAGCTAAATGACTCGAGGGTATTTGATCATTATATTTATCAAAAATTATTTTAATTTTTTTTTATAGGTGCGCCCCAATGAGAAGATGTCACATACCAAATTTCATATTCATACAATTTGCATAAAAAAAAACTAAAAATAAAATATTTTGAGACGTTGGATCTATGATCAAATGGTGAGTGGCTCTCTTGATCAAAATTGAAGAGCTAGATGGTAGTTGAAGCATAGAAATGGTAGTTGAAGCATAGATCTTCTATGCTGTAGGGGAAGTATAGAAACCTTTCCCTATAAACAATACTATCTATCACTAAGAATACCATTTCTCTAAGCTATAGTTCAATCTAACAATATAGAAAAACGCAATATATAGCAATATAGATCATCCTAAACTCTGTTTTTTGGGGTTTTTTTTTTTAAAGAGCTACTACTAAAATTAATAAGAACTAGGCATTTTTTTAAAAAATCATAAACTAAATTTGAACAAGAGAAAGAGGATGGATCATCAAATAAGAAAGAATTGATGCAAAGAAAACCAAGAGAAAATAGATACAACAAAACAAACCCAAATTTACTGCCACCAATAACATTCAAGCCCTAAAATCACAATAGAGATAAAATGACAAACTTTATAACAAATTAATAAGAAAAACTTCAATAATTCTTAAGCCATGAGTAATCCATCCATTGATTGTCAATGACAGATCAAACACAACAAATTTCGACAAACAAGAACCCAACAATAGATTTTTGCGATTTTCTTCAATAAATCTACTATATATATATTTTTTTAAGAAATAAGTAAAAAAGAGAGTTTGATGGGGCTGATTTGGGGCTGTGAAATCGAGCCAAAGATCGAGCTCGGGCTGGGATGAAGAAATTTAGAGCCCGGGCCATTTCACAGAGAGAGAAAAAGAGAGAGGGTGGGGCTTCAGTCCTTCGAAGAGGGAGAGGAGAGAGCTCGGGCCGGGAGCAGGAGAGAGGGAGGGGGAGGGAGCTCGGGGCAGGAGAGAGAGCCAGAAAGAGGGAGGAAGCTGGGGCCGATTGACAACGACAGGAAACTTTGGAGTTAAAAAATTAGGTTTAGTTTGGTGGGACTGAAGAGAGAGTAATTTAGATTTATTTTTTATTTTGGTTGAGGGTGTTTGCATGGAAAGTGTGATTTAATAAAAAAAGGAGAGAAAAAGTTAAATCGGAGGTAAGTTGCAAAAAAAAATATGACCTTAGGGGTTATTTGTAATTTAATGCCCGTAGGCCAAGGTCATATTTTCTATGCAACCTATCCCAACCTAATTTTTTCTCTCGCTTCTTTCCTTAAAAGATACTTTATATGCAAATACCCAACCAAAAAAGAACTCTAAACCACTTTTTCTTATTTTACCCACGCCTCTCTCTCCTCTTTCCCACAAAAGGCGGATGGCATATTCTTATGGTGGTCCGACATTGTAATGTTGATATGATAAATAACAGTGGCGGGCCAACAGTATGAGTGACAGTTTGGCACTGACAAAAAACCGTCCATCATTACGGTACGGTATTGCCATAAAGAGGTCTCCAACAACATGCCCAAAGTGCCATCTGAAAATGTCAAATAGTCCCAAAGTGCTATCTGAAAATGTCAAATAGCAATCCCAGTTTTTTTAGTTTAACGGGATCTGACAATGTCAAAGAGCGATTTGACAGCCCATATAAGCCCACATGAATGTTAAGCCAAAATTAAATTTTTATGTACGAAAAAAATATTTTCTTCAAAAAATTGTACATTTTTTTTATTTGGGGGTATTTTTTAGAAAATTGTATTTTAGGGACAAAAGTGTGAAATTTGGTTGGAGTCTTGGGATTATTTTTAATTTCTTAAAGAAAATCCGCATTGGAATGGATGGCCAAATGGCAGTTGCAAAGTACGCAGTAGCCTTCTTCGCCAGAATGTCCGCCACCGTATTGGTAATTGCAAAGTGCGAAATCGACAAGTCACGTCCATTGAAGAGAAGTTTACATAAACAATTGGATGTTATAATCTCCAAGCAGGCAATTGAATGTTATAATCTCCAAGCATGCATCAATGTCGGAACAATACATAATAAATATTTAAGGCGCTTTTTACTAACATGCAAATCTAAGAGCACAGTTCATGGTAAATGGGCCATCCATGTTGTGAAATTCATTTCACTTCGGCCGAAGAAGCAGAATCGTTTGGTTTTCCACTCTTAGCCGAAGCGAAACGGAAAAAAAAAATGCAGTCGCTTCGGCCAGAATCCACTCGCTTTGGGTCGATTCAGCCGTTTTGGTACCACTACTACTACTAAGTTTATCTACCACTCTACCTCATTTATATTGAACAAACTAGAACTTATAAAAAACTACCGCTCTACCTTTTTTAATTTTAAAATTTTTATAAACTTATAAAAATATATTTTTATTTTTTAATTTTTTTTAAAAAACCCTAAATCTTCCCCCAAATTAACCAAAGCACTGAATTGCTTTGTTTTTCATATCAAACCGAAGCAGACTCTGAAGCGAATCCGACAACATTGGTTCTGATATGAAATAACTGTAAACCAGTCATTTTTTGTTTATCAACTATATTTTTAAGGTGCGGTTTGTATAGGGCTGAGGCTCTAAACAATCTAAGTAAATCGCATCTTCAAATAGGATCAAGAAATGTAGTTAAAATACTGGAAATCTTTGTGATAGCTTTAAAATACATTTTCATATTTAATTAAAAAATTTCAAGCTTCAAAAATAGTGTAGATCGAATAGATATATGAAAATTTAAAAATCTTGAAAATTGACGGTCCAAAAATACGTTACAAGATGAACTATTTCCAAAACTTGAACTCCATTTTTTTCTCATTTCCATGCATTTTGATCTTGAGATGATTAATTTAAGGATATTTGAACATCAAAATAAGGTCTTCTAATGGAATTTTTTAGATGGGATCTAATTTGATTGTTTAGAGCCTCGGCTCTATAAAAACTTTTTCCTATTTTTATGATATGGTAATGAAAGTAATATTGCATTGGCAAATGTACAGTACATAAACATCTGGAGTAATAGAAAGCCCAGGAGCCCATACCATTCTTATTCCCAACTCTTTGAGGGTATCGTCCCCCACCTGCTTCAGAGCAGTTATGTCCACATCTGCCAGAAAAAGGATGGCATATTTGCCCAGGCCTAGTGCATGCAACAAGCTAGCAACAGTGACAAGAGAAGAAATCCAAAAACTTTTGCACTAAATGTGGAACACAGATCTATTCCAGGTTAGGAAAACACACAAATAAAAGCATCCATTAAAAAGATCACATATATTTTCTGCCATTACTCACGAACAAGAAAGAAGTGGGAAGAAAGGTTCAAATCTTAACTAATTCTAAAAACAAAAATATCTAACTATTCATATTTCAAAAAGAAGATCATGAAAAGGCGCGAATCTTAAAAAACTGTTTTTTTGGACAACACCCAGCATGAGTGATTTGGAAGAAAGACACATTTAAAATGGGGCAAAACCGTTCAAAATTTTCTTCCACCCTATAATAACTACCTCTTCTCTCTCTCCCCATCCAACTCTCTCTCCTCTGTTCTTTGCATTTCTCTAGCTCTCTCTCTGG